TGTATTTGCTACACTTGGTCATGAAAAATGTGGCACATATGTCGATAATACTAATAGGATAGATAGCTGATGGAGTTGATATTGTTGATTCTGGTAGCCATGATGCTTTCCTCGGTTGTGAAGATGATGTTGATTGTAATTTATATTTAACTTTTCTCATAAATATTTGACTACTCCCTTTGATTGAGAATTCTTTAGAAAATAGACCAAAAAAAGCCTTTTTGACGAGGTAAAAACACAACGATATTTTAACCCTATTTTCTCTCAAATCAACATGTAAGGGAAGTCAGCAGCTGATTTGAGTTATTCAAAAATGATTCGCTCTATTCACTGTATCAACTCAGGAATGAAATGAGCTAGACCTAGCTAGACGCGTTCCATTAAATGGTATATGTTTCATTCAAGCGAAAATAAAATTTTCTTGACGAAGATTTGAGGAAAAGAAGTGTAATTGTGTCTCTTCTATTGACGCAGCCTACCATTTAGCATCGTCCGCATTCATGGGTCTGGTACGTTGGGTCGGAGAATAGTTAGGTACCAAAGTGTATGCATAGCCAATTGACCTAACTGACGCTTTGATCCTACGATAGATAGCAGTCAAACAGTTACTATCTCAGTTTTTGAACAGATGATGCACAATTATAGTAATTCAATCGATAAACTCAATCATTTGAGTTTCACTCTAACTGATCAGTTGATTTCTTCTTGCATGATTTGAGAGTGGATGTGGACGGAGAGGAGACTGATTCATCTGCAATCTCATCCACCTGGCGTTACGGAAATACCGTCTAAGGTCTGATATCATCAACATTATATAGGGTAACCAGTCGCCAAAGCAAAAAAACGAGTATTTCAACAAACGACTGCACAATTTGATTGAGAATCTATATACAAGCGCTAACTATCAGGTAAAATACATAGGACGTTTACTTTTCCTATAAAGTCTCTTTCTACTTTTCTTTGTATATTCTTGTTCAATGTTGCTGTTTCTTATTGTTTTTGTAAGGAATCTTGCGAAACATACGAATAATATATTCCGATTATGTTTCTGTATTTTTTTTTCCTCAAAGTTTTTTTTTGCGGGGAGAACTCTTCAAAGACGAAACTCTCCAAGAGAGTGACTTTCCAAGCGCACAAGTAGTATCAGCGCGAGATTCAATATACAAGATCAGATAGTTACCACTTGGTTATCACATCCATCAATTATTATGATTAGATTAGGCCGTCACTAGAGTTCACAGTGTAGCATTGAAAAGTTTTCATAAAATCTACTGTTTGGTGTTTAAAAAGAGTTATTAATACATGTACGATTCAAACGTACTTTCAAATTCCATGACATTGGTCATGTTTTCACAATGAGAGGCATTATATTGTAACTTGATCACAAAAATGACCCCGTCAAGCAATCCTTTCTTTATAAAAAATATCCAACTCTATCGTAGACAGCTTCAAAGCTTTCTGAGAACACTGAACACATTATTCAATTTAATTCGACAAAATTTCTTGAATGACTTTTATTCTAAGGTTGACTCAGACGAAGCACAATGATCGGACAAAATAAACAGACAGTAGCAAATGATGATACTTTACCTATTATGATCAGCATAGTTTTGTTTTCACTCCAATGAAGTATATATCATTCAATAGAAACCGTAGAGCTATAGCTGACTCACCGCATTCCTAAGTTGGCACAGCAAATGAGGCCAGTCATTTTTTTAAAAAGCTTGAATTGGCTGCACACTTCCTTTACATGAAATTAATGCCAAACTTTGTGTGAATACGCATTTCAAGAAATTTTCTGAAGGAAAATATCATTAAACTTCATTAAAATGTAAGCGATTATTAACACATTCGCCACGATATGAATATTGTTTCTTCATAAATTGTGAAAGGTTTTATTTCTTTATTGAGGGTAACTGTAATACTTTAAAACAGCTTTTATCAACGTTTCACTCATGAATATCAGCTATAAAGAAGATTCCTTTATCAGAGATAAAAGAATCAGCTTTTTTGGTCAAAATATGTTACAGATAGTCAATTTTGTCTGTCGTAAAGAAACTTTTGGATTACTCTATAGTGTGACTCATCGATGGGTCATATCGCCTCTGTGTTAAAAGGTATGATCTTTTTAACAAATTTTTATGAATGAGTTCATTTTTTAAAATGAAGATTATTTCGCTATTCATCATTGAATATGCAAGTTTTTTTTTCCATGTGTTAAATGTTTTAATGTGTTTTCATGATTTTCTGTCATTTATAAGTATAGTTCCATCATGAAATAAAAGTAATCACTAGTTTACAATTAGCTTATTTTGTTCGCTACGCAAGACTTGAATTAATGTAAAAAAAAATGAAAATCTTCTTTTGATATACGTATTAAGAGTTAATATTGTTTTATATGAGAGGCAGGAGCGAAGGCTACCGGCTTTTGTTCAATTGTAGTGTCGATTGTATAGCACTTGCATTATGTATACCATCGCAAAGGCGACGCCGTCTCCAGCAAGCAGTAATAGAAAAAACAGGAGAAACAGAAGAATAAGATGAAAAGTTTGATGATAACAATGATAAGGGTATGAGTATCGATGTAGGTCTTCTCTTTATCATCATTCCCATCCACACCCCATCTTGACTATGTAGTAGAATCCTGAAAACATGAAATCTGAAACATACGTAACAATGCTACAGGATATTAATGAAAAAGTTCCAACAACTAAAGGAAATCCCAGAAAGATGTAATGTGTAACTTGTTACATAGTTTAGAGCAATTTCAGATAGTTACTCATGAGAAAGAAGGAAAACACAAAAAATTCCATCTAATTCTCTGCATCTAAATCAATAGAAATAAATTTAAGAAAAAACGAATTCCTAGACCAGAACCCATGCAAACCCATAAGGATGTGATCATCTATTGTGGAGTACAAAACCATTCGTTGGAATACACTGAGAATTTTTGAATCCGATCAGTTCTTAATGAACAGGAATAATTTGGGCTGTTGTATCCAACTTGAAAGTTAGTTACAATATCATCGAACTCATAGAGGTGAACAAGAGCTTAAAGAACTGATTTCGTCCTTACTAAAGATAGCCGATAACCTCTTATTTAGAATTAAAGGTCAATGCTACATGGAATCTGTATTCTCGTCCAGTATACAAAGAGAAGTTAGTATTTATGTCAATGATGGAATAGTAAATGAAACAAAGAGACAATAGACAAATGAAACGTTGATCAACGACTGACGTCGGTATGATATCGCTTCATTCTAGAACAATGAAGAAGATGATGGAGAAAAACTAGTCGATTCTAATAATTGTAAAAAAAGCAGATTTTCTTGAGAATAATAATATAAGTGTTTAGAGGGATGAATCCTATAGTTATCATTTTCCTCCTTCATTTTTAAGAGCGATGGCTCAGGAGTCTTTCTTACAAGTTCAAACATTGTAGATCGTTGATTGCGAGTACGAACAATTAATTTAGTATTCATGGCCGGTGTGTTATTGCAGATTAAGGGATAGATTTGATCAATGCATCATTGAATATCTTCGAGCTGTTTTTTATATGTGATACGAAGGATAAAACGAATAGCAGACAGTAGATCATTCTTCGTTTCCTGCTGACATTGCTCGTCAGCAGTTTCACAGTTATTTATGTTGAAGATAGCTACTCTCTTTGCCCTTTTTAATTCACTCATAATAGATCGAACAAGTCATTTCTAACGCATAGAAATATAGTGCATCTTGTCATCAATCAATGATAAAAGACAAGATAACGACAATGATCTATACTTAGCGAAAATTTTTTGCATTGATGACTGATATAAGTCCAAGAATAATGACACAAACATGAAATTATGTACTGTAGTGAAATTAATAAGAGTTTTATTCATTGTAGAGTAACATCCATCTGATAAAGCGTCACTCATTGTTAAAAGCTTGTAATATCGATAAATATTGCATGGCTCGAAAGAGAGCACTGTGATGATATTATTGAATAAATGTGGATGATCATTAGAAAGAAATCATACTGTCTAAGACTGCTACTGCCTTGTGATAGACCGATGTAAAAAGAATGTCATAATTGTTGCTCACCAGAACATTGACAAATGGGATTGAGTTTCTAATTAGACAAGCTAATTTCATACTAGGATGAAAAATATTGACTTGACTCCAACCTTGACGTTGATGGCTTTCAATCACTCATTGCTTGTGAAGAATATCTTGTCAATATGTCTAAAATAATCAATGAAAGATGTACAAAGAATTTTAATTCATGAAAATGGGTTTATTTATATATAGTAACAGCCGAATTTGAGCATCCGTCCGTATGCGATGACATGGATTTTGCCACTATTTCAAAACAAGAAGAGACTATTGATTTGAGTTCGGCTTCATGCACTTCGGAATTTTCTTTTCTTATAATCCATCATATAATTTGACACTATTGTATAAACTACTATCTGTATCAAGAAGAAATATAGTGCGCTCTACGAAACTCAAAACAAGGGTATCAACAACAAGAAAACTTTTTTCAGAAATTATCTGTCAATTACAAGCAAGTTATCATCATAAGTTGTCGATCACAACGAAGAACTCGATGAAAAAGCCAAACGTTCCTATCATGTGACCTGATATTTATATAAGCCAAACGTAAATAGTAAAGTACATGAAAAGAAGAGAAACAAGAAGCAATTCATCGATACATTTCAACAAAATTATTCACCATTAACAATCACAAAACCTGCTACATCCGATTCGTCTAAGAATCAAGTGTATTATATGGGCTTTGAAAGATATATTCTCAATGAAATTTAGTAGATTTTGTTGTTTTTTCAATCCAAAAAACGTAACATTTTAAATCACAAAATTGCCTCTTCTACATCTGTATACCTCACAATCAACAACTAGAAACGACTCGATGTCTATTTATATGTAACCTAATATGTCATCTTTGAATTATTTATTCTTGTATAAATAATGGAATTTTTCAGAAAGAAAGAGTTAATTCATATTTTGGTATTTTGATTTGACTGTTCAATTTCCTTTGTATCATCTTCTCCACGACGAATTCGATAAAGTGGACGACCAAAGCAAGGTAGCCAGAACATGAATTTTAGCAAGATAGTCACGGCCGGAAGATATAAGCACAGTAAACCAAGGCTATAGAGTGATTTGACAAATCCTATTCTTATCCAGTATGGCATAGCCATCGCAACAACGTGTCCAATAGCAAGCAATAATGTCATAGTGCCGAGTTTGGATTGTACAAAGCGCCACTCTCGCCAATTCAATAGATTTCCAACCGCAGGAATACTTGTTATAGCCAGAATGGACATAAACAGTTGAGCTAACATACCTAACAGAGCTGCTAATTCGCCTGTTCCAGTCATGAGGCTACCACGCAACACGATACGTGTCTGATTCTGAACGTTCGAAACCATCATTTCAACAGGATGAAACCATGAAGAGTAATAAGCAGGTGTTATAAGAATGATTGTGATAATAGAGTGAGAAAGAGCTATAACAAATGTTAATATACCGAGTTGTTTTCTGATTAACAACCATCGATCTAACCACATTGGAAATCGTCGTTCTCGAGTTCCGTAAGCCAATTGAAATACACATGCAAGATTCGATGGCATGTAGACAATGGCAAGCATAGTGATAGCACTTGGACATAACGTTTTATTGACCATGTGTAAAAAGAGTTGATTCCATGAAGTTGTACGAGTATTGATAAATCTCATGCAGAGGGTGTAAGTAAGCCAAATGGATAAAATGGCAAATGTAACAACAACAGGTATGTGCCATTGAGGGAACAGAGATTTAGTATCAGTTTCAAGACGACGCGCCGCTCGAATCGAACCCGCATTAAACGAATCGAAATTCATTTCACGTGCAAGTGTTATTACTTTATCTTTGGCCATTGAATGATCACTAGCAACGAGGACATTGTGTGGTTCACCTGCTGTTGCACTTTGCATGACAAACGATGAGATAGTATTGAATGCTTTGACAACAGAAGCATTAGGTATTGCCTTTTGAAGTCGTTCCGCATTGGAAAAATCGTTTGAATGCAATTTTTCAGAAGGTTGATTTGATAGATCAATAAGAATTTTCCCATCAAACAATGACGACTCGTGCTCTAGATGTGACACAAAAGAATCGATATAGTGCTCCGGCTGAATAGCAACAAAAATAATAGGCGAACGACGAATACATTCAACAGTTGAGACTATTTCAAATTTTGTGCCACTTCGCTTATCTGGATAACGACTACCCATTATTACTGTAAAGCCGCATAAGTATAAACGGTGAGCAAGAGCAAAGCCCATATTGCCACAACCAACAATACCGATGCATCGATCACCATACATATTGTCAACCAAGTGAGATTTATTGTCTTTTCTTTTTTAAGAGCAGTCCTATTTTCTAATCGAATAAATACATGTCTTGCTTCGAAATCGGGGATCAAACAGAGGAAGGTATCAAAATGTCAACGAGAAAATGTCAAAAGCGAAAATGTCAAAGAAGAAAATATCGAAAGTGAGACGGCAAAATAGGCGTGATGCACGATTACAAGGCGTAGCTTCTTAAAAGATATCTTTGTAACAACATTTGGTTTATTGATCTTCATCATTTTATAAGCCGTTAAAATGAGGGATGTCTCAATATCCAATAATTCGGGTATCAATATTCAAAACATAGCTATTAGAACATTTACTTAAAGAATTTGTGGCATCCATATGCTACCAAATTAACGATTTTAAGCTATGTTTTATAACGAGATAGATGTGCAAATCGGCACTCATATACAGTATCTTTGGAGTTCAGGATATTGAGGTAAGGGCACAGGGCTAGGTCTTATCTTGATATTCCTGCCTTCTGTTCGATAACCACACACATTCACCTACACCCTTCAAAGCTTTCATTGAAATTTGAACCGCTGAAATATGCTTGTGAATGTTCTAAATAGTACAGGTTCTGATTTTTGCGCATATAAGATAGTATATTCAAGATATCCAGACTGATAGGTAGTGATGCATTGATGTACCACAGTCGTCATATGCTCAACATAAAAACGTGTGAGTTAATCAGGTTAAAACTTTGAAAAATAATCAATATCAATGTTTCTAAGCTTATCAATAGATATAATAGTGTACTGAGGCTTCTTCCAAATTTAATGGACATGTATAACAGGCTTATTTGCTAGTTCAATCAATGTTTAGAATAATAATAATAATAATATTAAATTAGGATTAACAGAACACGAAAAACAACAAGGAGTGAATAGTTGGAAGGCAAACAAAAGTTTCTGTTTGCAATGTAGAAATAAATAACCGATAGTTTTTCGGTGACCGGACAATTCGTTGCAGGACAATTCGTCGCGGACAATTCGTTGCGGACAATTCGTTGCACGGACAATTCGTCGCCGGCCCATTCGTCGCCCGG